TGTTGTTGGGAATGCGAATATATATATACTTCTGTACAGAAACAGTTGAACGAGAACCCAAATGATTTGCACTGAATGTTAGATAGACTGAATGATGCAACAAGGACAAAGGATCTGCTAATTAACATATCAAAGACCGAAGTAGTCATGTTTCACAGGGGAAATGGAGTGAACCATGGCAAGTTCTCCATAAATGGCAAAAAAAAAAAAAAACCCTTAGTAGATGAATTCGTCTATTTTCTTAAAGTTTATACTAAAGATGGGAAAATAGATGGAGAAATGTCAAGATGTGCAAATGCTGGTAGAAAGGTAGGGGGTTGTATGTGGTCTGGGGAATGAATAATGTTGCTCAAAAGAAGCAAAAACGCCCATATAAGTGTGCTGCTGCCTACTTTGATCTATGGAAGTGAGAATTGTGTATGTCAAGGGAAACATAAAAGTAAGTTAACTGTAATGGGGTACTTAAGAAATGTGTGGTCAAAGAAGAAGAGAGTGGGTCAAGAATGAAAGGGGGCTGAGCCAATATAAATGGAACAAAAAATGGAAAAGTATGTTGGGGTGGGTTGCTCTTATAGAGAGAAGGAATGAGGATCAAATCTCTAAAGAAATATATGAAGGCAGAGGGAATGGGCAAAGAGGGTGAGGAACACTGAGAAAGTTGGGCTTGGATGGGGTTGGTGAGATCCTGAAAGAGAGGGGAGAAGTTTAAAGGACAAGAGGCAGCACGTGAAGGACACCTGGGTGTGGTGGAAGCAGAAAGTGTTTCCAAGAGTAGAACAGGTGGGCACTGAATGGGGTTGGTGTAAATTGGTTTTAGCTCTGTTTCCATTTGGTTGACTATTTGTTACGTCTTTTCTGCGCTTTGCATAATGTTGCTTACTCTGAAAGGGAATACTAATGCAATCAGTATGTCTATATAGGTGTTTTGGGTCACCTGGTTAAGTTGTGCAAAAGTTGTGCAAAGCACAGCCCTAGGGAGAGAGGGAGAGAGCACTGACTTAAAATGCTTTCTTCTCTACCAGCAAAGGGACGAGGGGTTCTTTTTTTTAGAGCCTGCTGCCCTCCAACTTTAATGCAGCAGCAATTTGAGGAACAAGATAAGAATCTGGCTTACTCCTGGGTTGCTTTGGTCCCCTAGCCCTGCCCTCTGCTCTTTCATCCCCTTTCTCCCTTCCTTCCAGAAGGGGTCTATTTCCATGACCCAGTGATTGTAGGATGATGGCACTGAAAGAGACAACTGGATTTGGTTCCCTGGCACAAAAGGTCTTGCAAGATAATTGGCCTATGTCGGGAAAAAGAGGCTGTTTTGCTGTGCCAAGTTGCTGGGGAGGGATCAAGGAGGGAGATCACGCAGTCCCGGCAAGAAAAACAATCCATTCCAGACTCCAAAAGCAGAAGTGGATCCAGATTCCCATCCCTGTGTGTGCTTTCTGATGGCTAGATTCATACTGTTAGCTGGTTGTGCAAACCAGGCCATCCAATAAAGCCATACATTTTTTGTGTAGCCTTGGATGTTATATGAACATAGTCACTCGGTTGATTAACCTGGGTTTCTGTTTCAGCGGGTTGGGTGGGTGTAGCCTTTGCTTTGCTCTGCAGTTTAGCATCATCAAGAATCGGGAGACGGTTCCTCCAGAAGTTACTGAACTACTGCTCCTGAGTAGTCCAGCTACAGAGTACAGTTGAGGACCAGAACTGGACGACAACTGAAAATCCCTACCAAATACTCCTATTTTTGAAAGTCTCCAAATTAACCCTTGGAAAAAAAAGAGAGACAATCAGTGGCCAGGTTCCACTTACTGTGAAATGTGGAGCAAACCCTTACAAATATGTAGTGCACATTTTTTTCCTGGGCTCACACAGTTACATTGACCACCAGGGGGCATCACATGAGTGGTTTCATCTTTCCGTGGGACTCTTCAGATGTGGGTAGCCAGATGTTATTCTGTGGGGCTCAAAGCTTCTACTGTGAATGGAACTCGTGGACCTTTGTGCTTTTGATGCCCGTGTACAGCTTTAGGACCTCTCCAGGCCCTGGTGCTCAGTGGTTGCAGGGAGGGCCTTCCAGGCGGTCTGTCAGAATGGAGTGTGCAGTGGTGGAAGGGAAGGTGGACTGTAGAAACCATTCTGATGGAGCTCATGTAGGTTGCCCAGAAATCCCTGAGCGTGACCTGCAGAGGGATGGTAGTGTCCCCATAAGCACGTGAAGTTCCTGACCCTCGCTCACACCCCCTTCCCATCTCCTTGTGTCTCCTTGCAGGGAAAGAAGAATTCGTGGCAACATTCAAAGGGAATGAATTCTTCTGCTACGACCTTTCGCACAACCCCATCCAAAGCAGCACCGACGAGATCACCCTTTCCTTCCGCACCCTTCAGCGCAACGGCCTGATGCTCCACACTGGGAAGTCGGCCGACTATGTCAACCTCTCGCTCAAGAGCGGCGCCGTCTGGCTGGTTATCAACCTGGGCTCCGGTGCCTTCGAGGCTCTGGTGGAGCCGGTGAACGGCAAGTTCAATGACAACAACTGGCACGACATTCGTGTGACTAGAAACCTGCGCCAGGTGAGCGGCTGCTGACCATGTCGTCTCAACACTTGGGGGGGCTGGGGGCACCCACACCCGGCTTTGAACTGCATCAGAAACTTTTTTGAGTTGCTCTGCAGTTTTTCCCCATATGCCAGACACCAGCAAGAGACATTTTTTTAAAAATGATTCTCAAGTTTGGGGCACAGGATGTTGAGAGGCTAGCTAGATTTTCTAGCACTGCTTCGCAACAACATGTTGAGTTATTTCTGGTAAAGGGAGAAGGACTTTTGAAGCACCCAAATTTTAATGTCATGGGAAGGAATTTTTGGATGGAAACACGTCTGAAATAACAGACAAGTTCTTTATTTCCAAAGTCTGTCTGGACCCTTGTATGTGTAATTGACGTCATTTGTGTCAGTGTGTGTCATTTGCATAATTATGTAATTGGCATTCTTATGTCATTAGTCTCCATATATGCCATCTGCATAATTATGTATATGCAAATGAGGCGAATGACAGCAATTCCATACATTTGAATTTAACAGATAGCCTTTTCCCCAAACTATCTGTTAAATCCAAGTTTTACTGTATTGCAAGGGATGTCAAACTTTTCAGCTGGAGCAAGTATTATTGTTATGGTTACTCTTATTGTTGTTATTAGCTACTGAAAGCTGCAGGGTGTGTGGCAGTGATATGAAAGGAGTGACGCTGTAATTTTCAGCTCCCTTCTCCCCAGATTTGTGGGTTTTTAAAAAGAGCAAAATTATCTTAAGACAACTGTTTTACTCCTTGTTTTAAAATACAGAGGGGGGTAAATTGCTTCGCTGCATTTTAGTACAATGTGACTTATGGGTAGCCCTCTCCCCCATTGCAGCCACATGCCTTTAATTTCTATAAAGTTCTATAAAGCAGTTTGATAACTGGAAGAAGGACTTTATTTTAAGTCCCATGACGTGGCCGATGAGTGGGTAATTGCCGAGGTCAGTTGCATCTTCCAACTTCACATTTCTGACTTTTTTCTGATGGTGTCTGGTCTTTGCCGTGGTCTGCAACACACGATACCCCTAGACATGGCCTTCAATCTAGAGGGTTATATTTTGGCCCTGATTCTTGGCAGGTGAGGGAAGAAAGGGAGTCTTGTTCTGTGAAACCGAAGGTAAATAACAGGCAGGGCTCTCTCTGAATCTCCGTATAGGCCCTTCTAGAACCAAGAGGGGCAGGAACTGGCAAGGGGGGGCCTGGATCTTCACTGAAGCTGTGGCTTTGGAGGTATGCTGGGAAGTGGAGTATGCGAGGAACACGATGCCTGGAGTGCTGAGTGTGGGGCTCTGGAGCCTTGCACGAATGTCTGGCCCGCTCTCTAACTGATTTCAGATGTATTGTGGGCATGCAGTGAGGAGGGGAGGTTGCCCTGCTGTCTGCCCAAAGTAGCTGCAGAACTGGTGTCTGGAAAACACGGATTCCGGGGCACACCTGTGGTAGGAAGTGAGTTTTGGAGAGAAGGGATGGTGTAAGTGGTAGGGCTCCCAAAGGAGAGTTCCCACGGCTGTTGTTTAAAAACCAGCTGATCTGATTAAAAATCCATAATCTTTCATGATAACTGGAAGTTGGAAGATCCAGGGTAGGGAGATGTGGGAAGTATTACAAATGAAATATGATGTCTGCAGTTTCTGATCAAATACTGCCAAAAAAAGGCAATTGCATAAAAGGAACCTGGGAATCCCCAAGGCCTTCAGTAAGAGGTCAGAACAGAGCTCCTTTTTCCTCTCTCAAGAAAGCCCTATTTGGGAAGTTGATAGAAGATTAGACTTGGCAGGACAGGATAGTCAGTAGAAGAGAAAGAGGAGAGGAGGAGGGAGAAGGAAAAAGGCACCTGATCCAATGGAGAGGGGTTTTTTTTCTCTTGCTCAGCAAAGAACATGTGCTCCCTGTTATCTGAAGGAGTGCTGAGCCTTGTGGTGAAGCAGTGAACTAGCAAAGCACTCAAATCACGCCTGCCCCACTTGCAGCCCTTGGGTTTCACAGAACTGGACTCCCCATCTCAGTTTTGCAACCACGCCTTCTCTTCTCTTTCTGCTAACACCCTGGTTGGATTTTTTTCCCTCCTCTTCTTAACCCCCCTCCCCCCAAAACAGCAGCTTGGCCTTGATTTCTATGTGGGGAAGAACGGGGAGGGGGCAGGGACTTGCCCCCATTGTCTGCCCCCCACCAGGCATCCTCGCCTACGCTTTCTCTTTCTCTCTCCTTTCCTCCAGCTCTTCTCCAAATCCACTGAGATCTAAGCTTTACCTCCCAGCAGCGGCTGACACAGCCTCGGCCACCAGGGCCTGACCCAAATGCCGTCTCTGGCCAGGCCCAGCACCCCCCG